ATCGCTTGTCTCTTTTTCATTTTTACCGACCAGCACATGGGCTAATGCCAAGGCAGCTCAAACAACCTTTTCAACGGCAATCACTTCTCAATGGAGTGTAATACCTGGGTTGACATTTTCTCTTCCCTATTCGTCAAGCGGCGTTTTGCTTTGCTCTTTTACGGGAAGATTTTTTGTGGACAAGTGCATTGTGAAAAGCTTTCGCCTTGATCTCGGATTTGGGTCGAGTTCTACAGCACCAGTGTCAGGGTTTCGCCTCGACGACACGTTCTTTGATCCGTCTGGGATACCACTTGATTACTCTTACTTTACCAGCGTTTCGTCAACAAGTGCATTGAATCTTTCTCTCAGCTATCAATATCAAGGAACAAAAACAGGTAAAATCATTGGCGGCAGAGCTACAGCTATATTCATTCCAGGGGCTTCACTGATCACTGATACGATAAGTTATAGTGTGGTTTCGGGGGCGACGACAGTCTTCTCGAAACTAGTATCTGTTTCGTCCTCGAGTACTCTCATCATCCGTGCTGCTGGCATTATATGCCGCAATTCGGCCACCGAGACATTCCGCGCGCGCATATCAAGAAACGGGGATCCACTTTTTGATGGAGATTTTTCCTCAATATCCGGGGCAGTAGCAAATGGAACCTGTGAGCCTTTGACGATGCATTCTATGGTGGATGCTGCTGCTGGTTCGCACATAATTGCTATTGATGCAAAGACGTCGACAGTTGCAGGATTTCAGCTAAAGGGGATTCAACTGCAAATTGTTACCATTGAGAGAGGCGCCCTGCTCTCACAGGATTTATGCCAGTCTCGCTGCACTCGACACGGTCTTTGTCGGCTAGGTGTGTACAACACAGTGACGAACACCTGCAACTTGTATATGCTTCGCAACACTTCTTCTATGCCAACAGATTCAACACGAGTAACTTTCGTGCGGAATCAAGTTCCAGCCATTTCGGAAAACGCGTGGACAATTGTTCGCAACGCCAAGTGGACTCTCAGCCAGAATGTGTCTCTGCTGGCGCAATGCAAAGGGGACACATGTGGAATCAGTGTTTGCGCTGAAGCGTACACGCTGAAAGATCGCTGTCGGTGTGTTTGCCAATCTAGCAACAACTGTGTCGGCTTTGTGAACACAGATGGAACGTGCTATGGAATTACAGCGGCAGATCTTCGCCAAAACATACAGTCAGGGAAGTACAACACTTCCGGTGGAAGCACTATTCATCTGAATATGCCTCAGACTTGCCACGCCATCAAGACCGACGCACAAAATGCAACAAGTGGGCGATATGCGATTGCTACGAGTACAGGTATCTTTGATGCCTTTTGCAACATGACAGCTGATAGTGGCGAGGGCTACACAATTGTTCCGTGTGACATGGGTTCTAGTGACATCGACTGTCGAAGCACTACGAGTCCGAAAGATAGTGATACTTGTAAGGTGATGGGTCTTCGGCAAGTTGTGCCGCGTTCGTCAGGCCATCTTGTATCGATGCACCGCAAATTCGGTTCGTTATTTTTCGCTACTGTTCCTGGAGTGACGAACGCCTACGTCGGCGATACAGTGGATTTGCCAAGTGATGAAGATACTGTGCTGGATTGGACTGCAATTGATGGTGGGAAGTGGTGGCTGCGTGATAACGGAAGTGGTTGTGATGTTGTGTCCCCCGCTAATGCTCCAGACGAACGAAGGTGGCTAGGGATGCACTCTTCGTCAAATGGACAGAGTGTATTGGATGGTCTAAGCTTAAATTTCGATCCTCGTGGTTTAGCGACGACGAAGTACCTGTGCTCAACCAATGATGTTAGCCCGTCCATGTCGTGGAGCTTCGTTCTTCAAGACTCCTTTATCGGAAGTGGTG